TAGGAAAGTCTGGGTAGAGCAGAGAGAACCTTGGCCAGACTCAGGAGACCTGGGTCTTAGCCCTGGCCCTGCCAGCGCTTCTGCGTGGGACCCTGGACTCACTCCTTCCCCTCTCTGAACTCTCAAGCCCCCACCTGAACCATGAGAGGAGGGAGCTTGTGATCTCAAGGGCCTTCCTTCTCTGCCATCGGCACGTTCTGAGCATATGCCCTGAATGAGGGCCTAAGGGATGAATGAAGGGTGGCACAAGCAGGTGACTGAGCTGAGTGGGAGGTACACTGAGGCCTGGGAACCAGCCCCCCAAGGAGGCAGGGATGGGGCAGCTAGCTTGGGGTGGAAGGACCTGAGCTATTTTCCTATGATCCCTTCCTGGGACTGTGCTGGGAGAGGAACCCAAGTTACCTACGTCCTTGTCCTGTTTTTCAGGTTTTCTATCACCATCCTTCATATCATACAGTGTCCGCATGGGCAGGTGAGTCCAGGTGAGCTGTGTTTAGGGGGTTCATGGCCTGTCACCACAGCCAGCTCACCATGTGACCTCAGACAAGGCCCTGAGCCTCTCTGGACTTCAGTTTCCTCATCTGTAGAAGAAGGGTGTGGAGTCATCACAATTGCTCACTTTTGTGTTCATCAGGGTGTCAGTCACAAGCATCTATTGCTCACAGCATCCCTGAAAGGTGGGAAGGATAGCATGAAACCTATTTTACAGGTGAGGAAACTGAGGTCCAAGTATATCAAGCGATTCTTAAGGAGTGGAGGATTTGGGGGTTGAGGTCAGGTCTAGGTGAGCACTCAGAGAGTGTGGGTCTTGGTGGGAGCAGAATGGGCAGGCAGAACTCTGTCCATGGTGTCACCAAATGTCCACTAAAGGCCTCTGGCCCCCACCCTGGCCACAGCCCGCACCCTACGTCTGCTTCCGTTGCAGTTTGTGGGGAGGTACGAGACCGTCATCTTCTACTGGCCCTCACTACTGTGTCTCGTCTTCCTGCTGGGCCGCTTCCTGCATATGTTCATCAAGTCTCTGAGGGTCCACCTGGGCTGGGAGCTCCAGGCCGTGAGTACAAGGGCTGGCACTGGGTGTGCAGTCACAGGTTTCCGCCTCACAGCAATCCGGGGTGCTTCATACTATTACTACTTCCTACATTCTGGATTAGGAAACTGGGACCAGAGAGGTGAATTGATCTGCCCTAAACCACCCAGCTGGTTGATAGCAGAGTCAGATTTTGAACCAGACAATCTGGCTGTCTAAAGTCTCTCTTCACCATTATGTCACACAGCCTCTCTCGTTTAGGGCAAATGACTCCAGGTTTG